AACAACAACAACAACAACAACAAAAACACGGAACTGGTACTGCGCGTAAACTGATGCAATCTCTACAGACTGAAGTAAAGCGCAAACCCAAGCGAAAACACACACCATATAAAACAAATACTGACATGCTTTCGCAATTTACGAGGCATCTTGAAGGCGCCGTCGCGAAGCTTTGGGTGTTGCGTTTTCGGGTTTGAGTTCTTCGGTTTCGTTTTCTGTTTCAGGTGTTTTGTCCCGGATGTTTTGTTTTCGAGTTTCGGATGCCATGTTTAGAATTTTGGAAGCTTCCTTTTAAGAAAGTTTGGATGCTTCGTTTTCTAGTTTTGGGTGGTTTGTCAGGATCGTAGCCAGACTAAAACTCTTACCAAGGCAATATCAGGAAAAGCGCTTCTTTCAATAAGTTAATCCCCCTTGCCAGGTTATGTCGAGATCTGACTCGGATTGACCTGGCTAGAAAGGTTGAAATTCGTCAATTCTTTCAAGTGAACACCGGCCTGAAAGCTTACCCGGGTTGGTACTTTCACTCAAATAAATTTTTGTTTCGTATTTCAATTTTATTTTTTGTTTGTACATCATGGCAAGGCCTCCCACCATTCCGTGCCATTACAAAAAGAGAGTACCTCCTCACCCGAGTACTAGACTTTGTAAGTGTTTTGCTTGTCACCTTTCAGCCCATGTTTTCAATGAGTTTTCTTGGTCTTTTAGCCTGTAGAAAGGCTGATCAGGTTCGAAGCAACCATGCTGCTATTGAAAGACTGACAACCCGAGTTCTATTTTTAGCACTCTTTGCGGAATTATAAAGGAAATTTACGTGACGCAAATAATATAGTTAGAAAGACATATCTGCATATGGTTTATGGAGATTTCTATTATCATGAACTTCTGGTTTCCACTATCGATCCGGCCATCGTTTACCAGTGACTCGGCACAACCGAGTTATTTGTTTACTGTTTATGTTGCCAACATGAAGTAATAACCTAAATCCGCTGCTGACTCATTTGGAAGCCGCTGGCTCTTTTTTGTATAAGGAGGAAAATCTGCTTTTGTTCGCTGCTTTACCAGTTGTAATCTGTGTTGGACTTGGGAAAGTAGCTGTCTCCCTCAACGCATCCTTTGGTTTTTGATTTCTTAGTAAGAGTCAGTTGTAATTCATCAAAGTGACAGGATATTCGTAAAACCGAGATCAAAGAAATATGGCTTCCTCTACTAACGGAAATGTGATAGTTATCGAGGACGACAGCCAGTTTCAACAGCAAATCGATCAAGCTGGGAATAGATTGGTTGTGGTAGATTTTACCGCCTCTTGGTGAGATTTTGGTTTTATAAATGTTGTTAACATTAACTGTATTGGACGAAAACTGATCGTGTTATTTTGAGTCTAAGTGGCGTGTTTTGTAACTTTAGGTTTGGTCACGAAAGCAATTTAAGACGCTGTTTACTTACGAACTCTCAAAGCTATCCGCTCGTAATAAATAGAAATCTCAAGCTTAGTATTTCGTCAATTTCCTGTCAGCTTTTTGAGAGGAAAATCGAAAAATCCTAGTTTTTGAATAATATTAAAAATTAATTTTAGTTGAGACAATTAAAGCTTACATAACTGGTGAGTATTTAGCGGTAGGTTGAAAATAAACAATGAGGTACTTTGAAAACCAACCTTGAATAACACGTTTCGAAAGTTTTGTTTTCAGACTGCATTCCCCCCCCCCCCCC